AAACTAACATGGGTTTGGAAGCAAGTGATTTGTTTGGAAAATCATCTCCATTGCATGATGTCTATGTTTCTAAAAAGCAAACAAGAAAGACTGAATAAAAAGAATTAAAGAGTGAATTAGAATATGAAATTGATAATTTCCAAAAATTGCTTGCCAAGAAACTTGCCATTAATGAAATGGGAGAACCCACCATCTTGACAACAGCCCATGCAATCAGATTCTATCAAGAAATTATCAAAGAAGCTTTATAAGGCATCAAGAGATGGTTTCCAATCAAAGCAATTCCACACCAAATGTGATAATCAAGGAGCAACTGTTACAATTATTAAGGCTGATACAGGTGCTATTTTCGGTGGATATACATCTGCTGCTTGGAATACTACTGTCATGAGTCAATTTGCCTATTCTGAACGTGCCTTTTTGTTTAGTTTAGTTTCTAATAGTGGTGAAGAAAGATTTAAAAAGTTGAATCAACTTGCACCACCTAATTCACCAAGTCAAGGAAGATCAATTTATTCCCATTCTCGTTTTGGTCCTACTTTTGGTGGAGGTCATGATTTATATATTTGTTCTAATGCCCACGAAAATACTGGAAGTTATTGTCATCCAAATACTTATGCTGATTTTGGAAAAGAGTATTTAGCAGGTTCTTACAAGGAATGGCTTGTAAAGGACATTGAAGTTTATTCACTTTAAATATCAAATCTTCCCTATTATTAATGGAGGAATTCAAGTAAAGGATTATTAATTCCTCTAAATAATGAATAATTTGTTTAGCGTTTCATTTGCTTCAAAAAGTAAATTCTGGAGTTATCAGTAATCAAAGATCTCAAAGAAGGATGAAATAGTAGATGTTGTTTGTCAACTGATGAACAACTGTGAAATTGCTCATTTGCATCTCATCTTGCAAAAACAAATTGTTTCAAAAGCAGTGCAAATTGTTAAAGGAGCAAATGTAAAGTATGAAATGCAGCCACAGCAATACATTACTAAACTGATACCTAAAGCTAAAATGTGAAATTCCATAAAAACTAACTCGTTTCTCCCTCATGGTTTAATTATGATCAATAAACAATTACAAATTAATAAATATTAATAATTTGAATTTTGAACAAAAAAATGAGTGAACAACAACAAGAAACTACCACCATTCCTACAACCACTAGTACAACTGATGTTACTACTGTAGGATCTACAACAACAACAACAACTACCATTTCATCATCGGAGTTGGTAAATGAACAAAATGACAAGAAGAGAAAGAATAAATTTAATAATAATAATAATAACAAGAAAAATAAGAAGCAAAATAACAAACAACAAAATAGTAACAAGGAAAGAGACGATGAAGATGCAGATTTTGATGTGAGTGGAGAAGATTTAATGATTGAAGATGAATCTACATTGGTTCATTCATCATTTCCATTTGTTATTTCCTTCTCTTATAATGGAATTCCTTTCAATGGATTACAAATTCAAAATGGAGAAAATTTAGTTAAACATCCACATTTATTAACTATTGAAGCAGTTTTATTGGATATTCTTTATGGTTCTAATGGTGAATCAGATTTTGAACAAGATGAAACAATTATTAGATATACTAAATCTAAAAATTGTAAAGATATTAGATTACAAAGAGCTTGTAGAACTGATAGAGGAGTTTCTGCTGTTAGAAATGCATTTGCATGTGTAATGACATTACCAAATACTCAAAATCATAAGGATACATTTAAATTTAATAACGAAGAACTTTGTAAAACATTGAATGATAGAATTAATAATCATGTTAGAATTAAGAATCTCAATTTGATGGATCAAATCAAAATTTTCAATATTCAAAGAGTTCCATCAAGAT